GTTCGCGGACGAAAAGAGCTAGATGCAGATTTTGATATTAAACGAGGAATTAACACGCGACTATCATGGCCTAATCGAGAACTTTGACGCATCGTTAACCGTGAATTCAGATCAAACGAGAGAGGACGTTTATTAAAAGTAGGTAAGAGAAAAGTACTAAAAAATATAGTCCAGCAATATATACCAGAGCTGTCGGCGAGCTCTGTGCAAAGTTTTTTATGATTTTACACGCACTTTACGACAAGCACTGTATTTCAGATCCATCGCCTACTTGTTTTTGTTTCTCCTCGGTTTTGATCCGTTGACCAAATGCAATAAGTCACATATGGTTATAGAGCATTAAAAGTTACATCTGGTGGCATGCTTTTTTATCTTCATCAGCTCATATTAGTGGAGAAAAAGCATATTTAATTTTGTGAAAATGACTGGAAAATGGGTATTATGTATGGGAAAAGACATTTTTCTCCTACTTTCCACAAGTGAACCTTTGTTAGTTTTGCGTTTATAAACCGCCCATGACTCAATGCTAGCTACTCATGTCCAAATTTGGTATAAATTCTTTTCTCCTAACCGTTTAAAGTAGATCTTTTTAAAAACAAAACAAGCTCGTGAAAGGTACCCTTAGTGGATCTATATATGATTTTTAGACGGTTAAGAGAAAAGAATTATTGCAAGTTTTGACATGAGTAGCTAACATTCAGTCATGTGCAGTTTTTAAACGCAAAACTAAAAAGGTTCATTAGTGAAAAGTAGGAGAAAAATGTCTTTTTGCCTGTGAATTTACTAAAAACACAGAAAATTAAAAAAGTAGGAACGGTAGAGGTAGGAGAAAATCCAGAAAAGAGGACATAACAGGACGATTTTATTGAAAAGTAGGACGTTTACGAAACCTGCACAACTGCATGCTTTCTCAAACGCAGTAGCAGCCTTTTCGTACGCTACTAGTGCGTGAATAGACGCAACTAGTGACACGCTACTACGTTACTAGTGCGTGAATTTTTTTGTTTTATAATAGTTCGCTAAACGCAAATTTGTGTCGTTATTGCTCCCAATACCATTTAAAGCAAAAGCCACTGGAGAAACTTCATTAATATAGTGAATGAGATTATAGAAATGTGTGAGAAGGCAAGGAATATTGAATAAAAAAATACTGAAATGGGTATTCGTTGATGTCTTTAAATGTTTATTACGGCTTTGCCACTTATTCAATATTGATGTTAGTGTGGATGATGTAGACCACTCGTTCAGGATATTTTCGAAGTTATTCCTGTTGATGATGCGAATTTAAATAATTTAATAGTTGTTCATTGTCGTTTGCAAGTCTATAAACCTTGTTTGAAGGATAAAATTCTTTAACGTTTGGATTCATGGTATTGTGTTAGATGTATCTGCTTCACTCGAATTTCTGTTGTCGAGATTAAATGGCGGTGCTAAAAATATAAATCGTGGAAACATGGGAGCTGGATCGTGGCAGACCGGTAAATCCTGTGTCAAAAATGTTCTTCCATTTGAAGGAGATGGTTCACTCGATGATGCATAGTGTGAAACTGTGTGCATGTTTCTATCTTTCTCATCGTGTTGCGGATGAATTCGTTTCTGTTCAATTTGATAAAGATGTTCAAGTTGTGCCATTTGAGATAATGATTTTTGTCCCTCATCCACTTTAATGATGCCAGTTTGTCCCAGTTTACTGCAGAGAGAAGAGATTAGACCAGTCAGCATATTCATCTGTGGAACAGTGTTTTGTTCAAGCTGTTTTTTCATATTAAGCTGTTCATTGCTACCGATCACACATCTGAGCTCTAATTCATTCATTTTATTCAAAAGTATTGCTTGAGAGTCTTTTATTGCTTTTTGAATAATATCAGTTAATGATGCTGTGGAGTCTGCCTGCTGTTCATTCGTGCTGAACTCGTTATTGGTAATTTTTTCATCATTACTGTGCTATTTTGAACGGATGTTGTGGCCTCGATTGTTGTTGAACATAATTTAGCTGATGATGGAAACCACAGAATTAGATATAGCTGATTGGTTTTGTTGCTGTGATAGGAAATGTTTTCGATAATACACTTTGTACTGACATTCAGAAGCTCCGGCCATATGCGGTTCCTGACAATTTGCACATTTTATTTGATTCAGACAATTTTTATCGTACGCATGCCCTTGTCCACATTTAAAACATTTTGCATTGCGTTGACATGTGGCAGCTGAGTGGCCGTAATCTTGACATTTGTAGCATCTCTTCAAATAAACAGGTGCTACGTATGAAAAGGCAGGATAACACACCGAGTCCGCATAAATACGTCCATTGTTTAATACCATTTGTACCTCCGCACCCGATCCGAAAATTCTGTTTGTTGCTTGGTGATTTCCCGAATAAATTCTTTTTACATCTATAACCGACCGATATCTCTCACAAATTAATTCAGCGACATCGTTGATTTTCCATTCTTTCAGAATATCTTTTATTATTATTGAGTGATATACTGGAACCTTTTTCGGTGGAATCAAATCATAACTCAGCCCACAAAGTTTTTGAGGCCATTTGTTTCTCTCGCACAGGTGCTCAAACGTTGATGAATCATTTGCAAATATTAACAGTTCATTGCCGTACTCTTGAGAATGAGAATATCTTGCAAATGATACACTAAGAGATTGATTTGTCTTCACTATTTCATTTAGAATTTTTATTTCTAATGGTTTTTGTTGGTTTTCAAACGCTAATTTTATCAAAGGAAAGGGGAATCGAATTGATCTACTCGTCTCTTCCTTCTTCTTGTTGGTCGTTGTTCATCTATCGTTTCTACGATTATTATTGACTGATTTTTATTTTGATTCTACTTGTGTATTGAAAAATAATCTTTGTGGACGTTTAGAGGGTTTCTTTTGATTGTCATTCGAATTAAAATCTGAATGAACATGATTTGTTATCATTGCATTAATAATATTTAAAATTTCATCTGCTCTCTTTTGTTGCTTACTTTTAACCTGCTTGAACGGATGATTTATTTCGTCATTTGTATCAGTATTTGAATGATCTCTTCTTCATTAGAATTGGGATCAGAAGGCAAGTAATCCTCACTGGCTACTCTTTTTTGGCCCCGATTTGATCCAGTCCGTTGGTCATAGAAAAGAGAAATGCCCACATCGGATATTCGCATCCGTTATGATCGTTTTTGTGTAGAGTTTTAATCGATTAATCGATTAACGGATTAATTCAATTTTTCTCAGTTATAAATTATGAGAAAGTAGATCCTAACTCACGCGCGTAACTAACGAAAAGGTATCCCTTTCGTGCTAAAACACTATTCATCTGGATTATTTGGATTATTACATACAAAAGTTCATTTAAAGTTACTTCGCATCGTCGTGATGGAAGTGTTGATTCCATTTGAGGTGATGAACTACAAACACCACAGGGAATCCGAACCTGCTCAAATGAGCAGGGAGTATACATTGGAATAACC